GTCAGCTGCATCTTTCTCCCCAGAAGGGCTGGTGGGTTTGAACCACGGACCTTCTGATTAGCAGCCCAATACTTAGCTCACAGAGCCACCAGGTGTCCTTACTAAGCTCCCAGGGGTGAAAGAAAGGAAGAAAGAAAAAAAGAGCAATTGCTGCCCAGTCAGTTCCAACCCCTTGTGGAGCAGATTGCCTCACGTTTCTTCCTCAGAGTGGCTGGTGGATTTGAACCACAGACCTTTCAGTAAGTAGCCCAATCCTTAACCTATTGCAGCACAAGAACTCCTTGTCTGTAGTTGTTAAGTGCTGTCGAGTTGGTTCCGACCATAGGAACTCTGTATAGGATTTCCAAGGAATGACTGGTGAGTTTGAACCCGCTGATCTTGAGGTTCAAATGACCTTGTAGTCCAGGGCTTATCCTACAGCGCCACACCAGGACTCCTTACCTATAGTGTTGTTGTTAAATACCATTGAGTTGGTTCCAATCCATAGCAACCCTGTATAGGGTTTCTGAGGAGCAGCTGGTGAGCTTGAACCACTGACTGTGGTTCCAACTGATTTTGCAGTCCAGTGCATTAGCCCACAGCGCCACCTCAGGACTCCTATAGTAGGTGCTCATTAAATGCTTGATAAATATATGGATGGATGCTCAAGTGGGGGAAGCCACTCTCGCAAGATCATGTGGGCATCAAGAAGCAGGAGTTCCAGACCTCTCAGTTCCCCCCTCCCTGTGTGACTAACCGTGTCCCTCCCATATACACCCGGGCCCCCAAAGAAAGGATCAGTTCTATCTGGCCTTTTGGCTTCCTCCCAGGGCCCATGTTGGGCTCTGTGGCCTAGGATGCCTCTGACCCTTCTCCCTGTTTCCAGGGCCGCTGCACCTGGGTGAACCCTTTGCAGAAGTTGGAGGAAGAGGAGGAGTTGGGGGAGGAGGAAGAGAAGGCGGATGAGGGGCTGGAAGACGTGGAGCAGGAAGTTGGGCCCCCGCTCCTGACCCCACTCTCAGAAGATGCAGGTAACTGTCCTCACCCTGCATGCCACTAGCTAGGGTGGGGTGGGGGCTACCAAGACAGCCGTGCATCAACCCTCTGGTCCAACTCCTTAAGCCTCAGTTTCCCCACATGTGCACAAGATAGCTCAGTCATGACTCCGTAATAACAATGCCAAACATCTGCTCTCTGCTTGGCCCATTCATCCATTTATCTAGAAGATGTTGTTGTTGTTAAGTGCCGTTGAGTCAGTTCCAACCCATAGCGACCCTGTACAGGGTTTCCAAGGGTGTAAATCTTTACAGGAGTAGAAAGCCTCATCTTTCTCCCGCGGAGCAGCTGGTAGTTTCGAACCACTGACCTTAAGGTTCGCAGGCTGATTCGTAACCACTACGCTACCAGAGCTCCTTACCAGTTGATAATCCCTTGTCAGAAACTTCTGTAGCCTCAGTTTCCTCATCTGTAAAATGGGTGCCTCCCCTCCCAGTTTTCACGAAGGTGTTCACAGTAGTGTACCACACATGGTAATGGCACAGATATGGGATGTGACCTCCTTTTGAGATGGATTGCGGATGAATGGACAGGAATTTCCTGAGGGTGGGGCATCAAGCACCTGTAAGGAAGCAGAAGGAGCTGGTTTTGAACCCTGAATTCCGTAAACCTGGTGCCTGCCTGAGAGTAGAATCATGATCACCCCTGTGGGGGATCTCGCAGGGTGCCCGGCAATGTAGCAGGTGTTAACCAGACTTCACGGTGGCCCTGCCAGAAAGAGAGGTCAGTCTGCTCATCTCACAGGTGCCACCACTGAGACTCAGCCAGATCACATGGCTTCCTGCAGCTTCACAAGGAGACCGCTGACTTCAGCCAGGGTTCTAGCACCTATGCTGGTGCTGTTCGTGTACCGGTTCCCTTCTTGCCCCTGCTGGCCCTCCCTCTTTCCACCCTTCCTTCTCTGACTCCCTCCAGGGCACTAGGGGAGGCAGGTCTGGCAGGTTTCCTGAACCCCTGTCCTCACCGCCCCTCTGCCCACAGAGATCATGCACCTTTCGCCCTGGACTGCCCGGCTCTCCTGCAGCTTGTCCCCCCAGTATTCTGTGGCTATCGTGCGCTCCAATCTCTGGCCCGGGGCATACGCCTACGCCAGTGGCAAGTATGTAAGGGCAGCAGGGGAGGCACCTACAGACATCTTCAGGGGGCTAGGCAACTCATCAGGGCAGGCAGGGGTTGGATGGACCAACTTCAGGAAGCCTCCAGGGTTGACAATCTCACTCAGCTCCCAAACCCACTGCCTTCAAGTCAATTAGGACTCATAGCGACCCACTACAGGGTTTCTGAGATTTAATCTTTACCAGAGAAGTCAGCTGCATCTTTCTCCCCAGAAGGGCTGGTGGGTTTGAACCACGGACCTTCTGATTAGCAGCCCAATACTTAGCTCACAGAGCCACCAGGTGCCCTTACTAAGCTCCCAGGGGTGAAAGAAAGGAAGAAAGAAAGAAAGAGCAATTGCTGCCCAGTCAGTTCCAACCCCTTGTGTTTCAGAGTAGAGGTACGTACGCTCTTGGTTTTCAGGCTTCAGTTGCTGCGATGGGAGATCTGAGCTAATAAGATTGTTTGATAAAGAAGTGGAGGGTCAGAGAGGAGAAGGGACTAGCTCTGGGTCATGGTGCATACCAAGATTCAAATCTGGGTGTTTGGTTCCCTGGCCCGGGGGTGTTCTGGTGCATCAGGTGCAGAGCAGACAAGACTAAGGAGTCCCCTTTGGAGTGACCTTGACAGGGGTGGAGTGTCTTCTTTGAGGGAATGCATGCCTTTCTGGGGTCCCCTGAATGGCTTTTTTTTTTAAGAGGTTTTTTTTTTTATTATTATTTTAATGTTTTTCTCCATGGGGCAGAGTGGAATCCCTGGGTGGTCCCATCAGTTAATACATGTGGCTACGAATTGAAAGTTCGGAGTCCAGCCAAAAGTGTCTCAGAATAATGGCCTGGAGATGTGCTCCCCAAAAAGCAGCCATTAAAAACCTTAGGGAGACTAGTTCTACTCTGACACACATGAGGTCACCGTGACCTGGAACAGACTTGATGGCAATTGGCTATTTCCCGATGGAGGCAGGAATCTTTCCTACCAAGATTCCCCATTAGTTGTTCGTCAGTGATAAGGTCTTCCTGAGCCTCCCTAAGAACCCATCCCAGCTCATCTGCTCAGTCCCTAACTAGGCAGTGTGATAGGGAACTAGGGCTACAGGTACACTTACCAGCGCTGTCCACCAGAGGGCAGGACTGTTCCTCATAGACTTTGCTTTTCCATCTCAACGACGAACCTGTACTATTTGCTATTACCTGATTCACAATTGTGATGGGATTTCATGCTGTCTTGATACATTAACCACATTCTTGGCAGTTTTTCTTTTTGTCCAGAAGGTGGAAAGAGGCATGCTTATTTTGGTCAAACTCCTTCTTTGGCATGCCCTAATTTACAAACATTTCTCTAGATCCAAATTCGGAGTTCTGCCCACTCACCTGTTCTGTCCTTCACTCCAACCATCCATCCATCTACCTACCTACGTATCCTTCCATCCTCCATCCATTAATCCATCCATACATTCACCTATCCTTTCATCCTCTATCCAACCATCCATTCACTTATCTTATATCCTCCATTTAACCATCCATCCATTCATCCACCCACTCACTCACTCATCTATCCTTTTATCCTCTATATACAACCGTCCATCCATCCATCGACCTATCCTTCCATCCTAAATCCAACCATCCATATACTCACTCACTCATTCATCTTTCCTTCAACCAACCATCCATCAACCCACCCACTTACCCATTACACACCTCATCCATCTTATACACCCATTAATCCATCCTCCATTCCCCTACTCCATCCACCGGTCCATCTATTCACCCATCTACCATCCATTATGTTCTTCACCAATGCTTCTTGAATGTCACTGTGCCATCTATGTGGTAGATCCAAGGGCAAAACATACCATGATGAATAAGACAGGTTAGAGCCTGCTTCCAGAAGGGACACAAACCTTCATTGTATACCCACCACCACCACAAATATTATGTTGTAAACTGAGATAAGTAAGGCTAAGGAGAGTTTGCAGGGGCTAATGACCGAGTCCTAGGAGCTCTGGTAGCATAATGGTTACGAATTGGTCTGTGAACCTCAAGGTCAACAGTTCGAAACTACCAGCTGTTCTGCAGGAGAAAGATGATACTTTCTGCTCCCATAAAGAGTTACAGACTTGGAAACCCTGTACAGGGTCACTATATGAGTCTGAATCGACTCCATGGCACATAACAACAACAAATGACCGAGTCCTATGGGGATGAAGGAATTGAGCCCTAAGTGCTAAGGGCTCACCTGGGAATCTGGTTAAAGTGCAGAGCGTGGTTCACTGGGGTGGAGCCTGAGATTCTGCATTTTTAACTAGCTCCCAGGGGATATTGAGGCTAGTGGTTCCTGAACCAGGGCAAGAAGGGATTTGACAGCTTTGTGAAAATCCTGGAGGAAAGCATCTCTCGGGAATAGCAAGGGTGTCAAAATCAGGTCAAAATCAAACTGCTTTTTCAATGCAAACTCTAACACCCTCCCCGCCCCATACCTCGTGTTCTCTCTCTCTCTACTTCTCTCTGTCTCTGTCTTCCCAGTCCCCCACCCCTCTCTCTGTCTCTTTCTCTTTGTCTCATTCTTCTGCTACTTTTTTTCTGCCTCTTTTTCCATCCATGTCTGTCTGATTGTCTTTTCCTTCAGCTCCCTCCCTTTTCTTCCATTTACTCCTCTTTCTTTCCCCAGATACAATTCTAGGGACAGTTGAACTGGCAAGATTAGGACCCAATCAAATATCTCTTCGTTTTTTATCCATCTCCTCCCATTAGAGTAAAAACATGAGGCAAAGATTTTGGTTTTAGGTTTTTGGTTTGTTTTTAGGCTTTATTTGTTCACTGTTGTATTGTGAACTGTCCACTAGAAATAAAATGGCAGCTGCACATAGGATTTTATTTTTTATTACCATTGAATCAATTCTGACTCAGAGAGATCCCACGTATATCAAAGTAGAACTGTCCCCAAAGGAATTTCAAGGCTGAGAGCTTTCAGAAGCAGATCACCAGACCTGTCTTCAGAGGTGCCTTGGGCTGGGTTTGAACCGCTGACCTCTCAGCAATTAGTCAAGCACTTACCTGTTTTTGTCACCCAGGGACTCCTTACACATGTGATTTTAAATTACCCAGCAGTCACTTTCACCAGGTAAAAATGAACAAGTGAAATTAATTTTAATAACATTTTTAACCACAAAAATCCCAAATATTCTCATTACAACAGAATATTAATAATTGACCAGTTATTTCTGAGCTAGTTTACATTCTTTTATATTTTCAGTTTTGGAAATCTGGTGAATATTTCATATGTATTGTACAAATCAATTTGGAAGCAAAATTTTTTTTTTTTAACTTTTTATTGTAAATTGGGTAAATGTTTCCAGAGCACATCAGTTTTCAATTCAACAATTCAGGCACATTCTGTTTTGTGTCATTGACTGGAAGCTAAATTTTCATCAGAAATGCTTGACCTATGTTTACATTTCATCAAATTTACACTTGAGAAAGTAGGTAGATTCATATATATCCAAGCTGTTCCAAACATACTTAAATGTTTTCTTTTTTCTAATGCTTCTCGCCACTCTTCTACCCCCTCTATCCTTTCACTTAGACATTTTCTAATAACTGTGCAGAGTACTGACTTCTGTGATTTTAAATTAAAAAACTGAAACAAAAGTCTTTCGATCCACTAACAGCAGAATCAGACATTCTTTGCAAGTGCTAATGGAACTTTCTCCAGGATAGGCCACATCTAAGAGGTCATAAAACAGATCTCTTGAGAAGATACATTTAAAAAGATTGAAATCATACAAAGGCTGCTCTATGACCACAGTGGAATGAATCAGAAATCAGTAACAGAAGGAAAGTTGGGAAATTCACAAGACTGTGGAAAGGAAACAACTGCAAAGTAAAGTAACCAATGTATCAAAGAAGAAATCTCAAAGGAAGTTAGAAAATGTAATGAAACTAAAAATTTAGTTCCTCAGATACACCAAGATAGATTAGGTTTGGACTGCTAACCACAAGGTCAGTAGTTTAAACCCACTATATGAGACTTTCGTGGAGCTCTGGTAGCGTAGTGGTTACGAATCGGGCTGCGAACCTTAAGGTCAGCGGTTCGAAACTACCAGCCGCTCCGCGGGAGAAAGATGAGGCTTTCTACTCCCGTAAGGATTTACACCCTCGGAAACCCTGTACAGGGTCGCTATGGGTCGGAACCGACTCGACGGCACTTAACAACAACAACATATGAGACTTTCTGCTTCCCTAAAGATTTATGGTCTCAGAAATACCAAATAGGCTCATTAGGAGTCAATTGACTCAGTAACAGAAGATTTTGGCAATATTGCTTATAGTACCTGGATAGTATGGTGGCTGTGTGCTGTGGAGTCGGTTCCGACCCATAGCGACCCTGTACAGGGTTTCCGAGGTTGTGAATCTTTAGGGGAACAGAACGCCTCATTTTTCTCCTGCTGAACAGCTGGTAGTTTTGAACTGCGGACCTTGCAGTTCGCAGCCCAATTCATAACCACCACGCTACCAGAGCTTCTTCCCTGGATGGTATAGTTTGTGCCTAAAGGTTGGTGGTTTGAACTTATGTAGGGTTGCCCCCAGATAAAAGGTCTGGCAATCTGCTCCCACAAAGATTGTTGTTGTGAGTTGCCATGGAATCGATCCCGACTCAGACTCATGGGGACTCCATACTTATAGAGTAGAACTGTGCTCCATGGGGTTTTTAAGGCTGTGACCTCTTGGAAGCAGATTGTCAGACTTTTCTTCTGAGGCACTTCTGGAAACCATCGTTTTGGCTAGTAGTTGAGCACTTAACTGTTTGTGCCATTGAGGGATCTATGTAAAGCGCACAGCCTGGAAAATCCCATGAAACAGTTCTACTCTATAACACATGGGTCAGCATGAGTTGGCATCGCCTCGATGGCGATGGATTGGGTGTTCGTTTAGATACTGGCTGGTACAAAGTAGATGCTCAATAAAATATTTGTTAAACAAACAAATGAATATAGAAATCTGTGGCATATTTCACCCTGCCACCTTCAATGAAAGTCCAGAAAGGGCCTTTGGGGGGGTTGTGTGTGGGTGGGGGGGTGTTTCCCATTGTTTATTACTGCCCTCCAGGAAGTTTGAGAACATTTACATCGGCTGGGGTCATAAGTACAGTCCTGAAAACTTCAACCCAGCCCTGCCAGCCCCCATTCAGCAAGAGTATTCCAGCGGCCCTGATATCATAGAGATGAATGACCCCACTGTGGAGGAGGAGCAGGCCTTGAAGGCTGCTCAGGAGCAGGCCCTGGCCGCCGCAGAGGAGGAAGAAGAGGAGGACGTAGAAGATGAGGATGAGGACGTAGAAGACTGAGGCCCCCGAAACCCTCTCCCCACCTAGATAGATAGGTTTCTCTTATACATAGTTATTTATGGATTTTTTTTGTTTACTATTGCTTTTCTGTCTGCTTCTGGAGGGCAGGTGGAGAAAAGGAAGGTAGCTGCCCTGAATAAAATTTCCCTGTGGCATTATAATTCATTCATTTATTCACCACGTTTGTTTGCATTACAATTCAGTCATTCATTTATCCACCATATTAGTTGGTACCAAATTTCTTCACCACATCTATTTCTTTTATTCATTCAAGCAGTCATCAATCAACTACTTAAGTTACTCTAACAGATCAATCCTGTGCTAGGGACACAGAGGGGACCATGTAGACAGAACCTTGACTTCCCAGGGCTCACATTCTATATAGGAAAACAGAGCCATCCCCAGACAATGGGGGCATTCAGCAGACTGTCAGAGCTCCTGAGCTGACTCTTTAAGAGTCAAGAAAAGAGTGGGGAAAGGCAATGTAAGCACTGGGAACAGCATGTGTAAAGACCCAAGGGCGAGAGAGAGTGTGAAGTGCTGGGATACTATCTCAAATCTCATTTTCAGGTGAGACATAGTGTGAGAGGTGAAGTTGGAAACAGAAGTGGGCAGGAGCCAGATCACTCAGGACTTAAATGTTTCCCATGGGCACTAGGGAGTCACAGAAAGTCTATGAGCAGGGAAGGGCCCTGATGACATTTGTGCCTAAGAAAGATTCCTCTAGATGCGAAGCAGAAGGATAAAAAAATAGAGTCTGGGAGACCAGAGACAAGGTTGATGCCAGAAGGATGGAGCAGGAAAGGAGGAATTAGGGAAGGGATGTGGAGAGAAAGGGGCTAGGAAACAGGAATTCAGGTAGTAGAATGTAAAAAGGAATTGGAGATGGAGAATAAAGGGAAATGGTACAAGCCTAAGAGGATACCTGGGTAAATGGCAGTCCTAAGATGGGGACACGGGAAAGGAGCAGAATTTGGAATAAGATGTCAAGTTCAATGTAGGGCTTACTGAATGTGAGATACCTCAGGACATTTTGCTGAGAAATTCTGGAAGCCATGGGGTTTGGGTGGTTATGGCAGAACGAGGAGTGCTGACTATCAGGGAAGGGATGTTATGTTCATTGTAAGACTGGATTACTAGTGCAACACTGGGGATTTGCAGGGGTCAGAGAAAATATGGAATCAGGTGTTGGAGAGCCCAGCAAGATTGTTGAGGACAGTGAAATCATGGTGATATTGGAGATGGGGTTAGCGTTAATCAATAGTTGTTGTTGTTCAATGCCGTCGAGTTGATCCCGACCCATAGCGACCCTGTATAGGGTTTCCGAGGATCGGCTGGTGAGCTTGAACCGCCGACCTTGCAGTTCAAACGGCTTTGCAGTCTGGCGCATTAACCCACAGCGCCACACCCGTGAAATTCTTGGAAAGTTGGGAAGACACTAGGGTCAGCAGGGATTTGAGGATCATTGAGGGTAGGGAGGAATATTTGGAGACGCTGTGGTCATTTTGGAACTTAGAGATGTCAGTAGGACACACTGAATGTTAGGAGGGTGTATGTTGGGGGTCTAAGGAAACACTAGTCACGTAGGGTCAGCTGGGACATCATGGCAGGACGAGGATACGGAGTAAGTATTCTTACTGGTCCCTCCGTTGCTAAGCAAGCGTTCTCAGGGCGCCGTTGCTAGGGACTTGTGCTTTCCTACTGGTCACACCCCTTTTCACAGAGGGCCCTGCCCCCGCAGCCAACCACAAGTCGATCGAAAGTCGTCGGCCGCGCCTACCTTTTCGCCCCGCCCACAGCCCTGAACAGTTACCTCAGCGACCGCCGGAACTAGTCCCGCCTTCTGAGCCGGTTGCCAATCGAAGAGGCGTCGCCCGGGCGACGACCCCACCTCTTCCGGCGCAGGCCCGCGACTTCCGGTTAGGGGCTTGGCGGCTGGCGGCGGTGGGTCCGCTGCGGGCCCCGGGGGGCGCCCAAGATGGCGGCGGGCGGCGCGGAGGGAGGCTCGGGCCCCGGCGCCGCCATGGGAGACTGCGCCGAGATCAAGTCGCAGTTCCGCACCCGCGAGGGCTTCTACAAACTGCTCCCTGGGGATGGCACCTCTCGCAGGTCGGGGCCGGCTTCCTCCCAGACCCCAGC